CAATGTTATACAGCTCGGTTTTTACTTCTGTGCAATTTATACTTCAACTTCGTTCTGTGCTTTGGACCCGGTCTTTTGTCAATTGTTTTTAACTTTCAACTTTTAATAATTATTTTTCCTTGCAAAACAATCCAAAAAAAACCCCCCCTTTTTTTCGTGTGTCATTATGACTGAACCGCAATACTTCCTACTCTATACGCATTAATTCAAATCATCAATAACTCGTTAAATGGATTTAGAATCTTAAACAAAAATGAACATTGGGGCACCTATTGCTGCACCAAATTCAATAAACTAGCCGTTAAAAAGTTATCATATGACGCTACAAAGAGTACATTAACATAATTACAATTTGCTTTTAGGAGGACCACGAAAGTCACTATGACTCGGTGTTCAAGAATCCATATAACAATTCCAATCACAAAAAATGAGACAGTCGTAGCACACCACATATCTGCTGTAAATGGTTGATAGGACGAGCGTCCTCTGCGCGCTGGACGAGCCTCCTCTTGCGCGCTGGACGAGCGTCCCCTCTGGGCGACAAGCGTCTGGACGAGCGTCCTCGGCCAGGTCGGCCAGCGTTTCCGCTAGCTGGGCGAGCGATCTCCGCTCTCTGGACGAGCGTCCACACTGGACGAGCGTCCACCTGGACGTACTGCTGGACGAGCGTCCACTTGCTGGACGAGCCTCCTCTGCGCGCTTGACGAGCGTCCGCTGCGCGCTGGATGAGCGTCCCCTCTGGACGACCAGCGTCTGTGCGAGATTTTAGATACCGTACGGTTAAGTGAGATTTTAGATACCGTTCGATCAAGCTTGTATTTATGCGGTTAAGTGTTGATGCAGTATTGGTCGGTCATGTGTTAAGTTTTGACATTCGACCATGATTCTAGACGATCGTGAAGAACGCTATGTGTTCGACCAAGACTCTAAAAGTTCGTCCTAGTTGTGTCAGAGCTTTAACTTCGATCTTGGTTCTGTTTTTAATGCTGGAGCGGTTGAATTTTAAGGGGGTTTGGTGTTCTCAGGTAAACGAGCGTTAGGTTCGATTTGGAAGTTATTAGTGATTGTTTGGTTTTCGACCTGGATGGAGTGTAAACCTTTTGAAGTTGGTCTGTGTGTTAGTGAGTTGTAGAGCGTTACGGTCGTTGTAATGTGAACGGTCGTTCGTTTTCGTAGCGTTTTCCGTATGCCCGAGCGTCCAAAAAGTAGTGGTGTCTAACCTAACCGAGCGTGCGGTCGTTGAATGGAACGGTGTCGTTTTCGGTAAGCGAGCTCAGTTAAAACATCAAAACCGAAACGCTCAGTCTAAAAAACAAAACCAAACGCTTAGGCTGAAACATCAAAATTTGAATGGAACCATAAAACGCGTAGTATGACCTTACGTTCATGCACAAATTAAACTTAAGCATAAAACGCAAACCCAGAAACACAAACTTGAATGGAACCAGCGACTGAAAGCAAGCATGAACAATAAAATCCTACCATGGCAGCGTGAAAGAGATGATGAACAGTAAAACTTACAGCACAATGAACAGTTAAAGCGTAAAATGAATAAGAAACTTGAGTGGAGAAACAGATTCAACTAGAAAATTTCAAAGAGACTCAGTTCAATACATGAAAATGGGAAAGAAACCAAACCCTAAACCTCCCCAAATGGGAAAGAAACCTAAACCTAAACCCCTCTTTTTCGTCCACCGAACAGTCGACACTCCGGCGATGCTCCGGCGGTGAATGCAAAGGTCCGGCACAGGGAGGGAAGCAGGTGGGACGAATCGAGACTCAGAACGCGCCCCTAGTTCGCTGGGTTGGAGGGAAGACGATGCCGCCTTCGTTTCGTTGGCCAACGTCGGAGCTGCGGCGACCGTGAATCGGAACCGGCTGGAGGGGTTGAATAGCTCCGACACGGCCTTCAACGTTGTCCGGCGGCATTCCGGCAAGCACTCCGTCGGACCTCTCTCTCTCGAACTCCCTTTCTCCAACTCTCTCGGGCTCTCTCTAGGTTAGACTCTCTCTCTCAACCTTCACTTCTCTCTAAAATTGTTCAAAAATGAAATTCAAATTTCAAACGCCAAACAAATACCCCTGACCGCTCCCTTTCCAAGTGATATTTCATTTTCATTTTAATTTCTGAAACGCACACCCAACACTGCCCGTGCCCGTCCTCGCCACGTCAAATTTGAAGCAGGCTTGATCAGAAATGCTCAGAACGCAGCAGCTTTTTTCCCTCAAAACGTGGCCCTCTCAAACGCTGACACGTGTGCTGTGTCCAAATGTTGTCAAAATTTGTTGTCTAAGTATCATTTTCCATTAGATTAATTAGATTACATTTGGATAGGATAATGCAAATGTCTCTTTCTAAGAATTGGGTTTATAAAGGTTAAAAGTGACAGAACATCCTTCGGTGCAAAGTACATTCTCATTAATATTTATTATTATTATTATTATTATTGATTAATTATGATTTAATTATCCCATTTTGTAAGCTTCATGCTAACATGTTTGATTGTTGAGAGAGTCCATTAATGATATATTTAAGTATATTTAGTAAAAGAAAGCAAAAAGTGGGAAAATGAGTAGTGAGTGTGGGGATATATATAAGCCCTTGTCGATGTCGGTGGTCCTCACTCGATTTTTATCACGTTGTTCCATCTAACAAGGTTGTTCATTCTCTTGCGTATGAAAAGATTGGTGCAAATGGCTTAACTCGTTTACCTACGAGGGGGTCCTGTGATCACTTTTTAATTTTATTATTCACAAAAAAAATGTACATTAAAATCAATTATGACAAAGTGTACGCAGTTGTTATTCAAGTGGCAGCAAAATTCTTTACACACAACAACAAAAACAACACATTAATTGGAGTCATCTCAACATCACTCTAAAGCTAAGCTTGTGTACTTGGAAAACACTAAGACAATGCTAATTGCCGAATGTGGGGACAATTATTGCAAAATATTCCAAAACATCAAATCCTCAAATCATCATATTAGGCCCCCAAGTACATCCATTTCTTCATCATTATTACAATGCCAAAATTCAAATGTTTTTTGTGGTATGATCAAGTAAAAACATCTACCATTTTTAAATCAATTGCGAGTGGCTTTCTTAGTATTTGTTATCCTAAGATAATATATGATTTTTAATGATTTTATTCACGCCAATGTTATACTATTTTTGTTATGGCAGACGTCAAATTTGACTACAACATAATGGTTTGTTTATAGAAGGAGATCTCAATTAATTCATACGTTAAAAAATTAATTAATTCAGCTAATTATTGGTGATAATACAAGAAGAGTCTAATCTCAATTGACACGAAAACTATTCCCATGACCTTTTTAAGCTGTGACACTTTAAAAACAGAATTGACAAGTTCTAACAGCAAAACAAAGTTAAGGTAATGGAAAGAAGAAGAAAAGTAAAAACTGTCGAGTCGAGGACAATAATGAACACTAGATATGAAATTATGGTGACTTGACAATACATAATATTTGATGAAAATTATTGGATTACCTACCTACCGTTGAATTTTCTATGGAATGAATATGCAGAACAAAAATGGAAAACCATAAAGAGGACAAACGCATGAGTAAAATTTGATGCTTACTCTAATTCGGCAACACAAACTGAAATGTGGTACGAACCTTATCTCCTATGACACACTGTTAAGGCTTCGCTGCATTATTATCACTCTGAGCCGAACACAAAATGTCTCTGAAAAAAATGCTTGTCTCTTTCTTCTGGGTTGTTTGAATTTCATAATATTTTGTCTGACACACCCTTCAGAAATTGCTTTATATATTCCCTCTTTAAAAACAAAAGAACTGTTTTTTTGTTTGTTTGCAAAGAGAATAGAGCACAGAGGGAACAACCTTCTGACTGCACTGATTCTCCCTTATCTTCCCCTACTCACTTCACTCCAAAATTTTCTTGGCATTCAGCTTTGACCAGTCCTGGGATTTCCCAGTGTTGAATGGCCTGAAACCTGATTGAGTTGGTCTTTTGGTTGGTTCACAGTGGGGGCACTGTGATCATATAATATTAAAAGGGCCAAAGAAAACTTGTATAATATGATCCTAGAACTTGTGTTATGTGGTGCCACTGCCAGCAAATAGTCACTAGGAATTTCGTCACCAGCACACAAAATTGTTTTGTTTGCTTTTGAAATTGCTCATGAAAGCATATGTTTGAACCTTGAACAGAAGCCCCCTGTTGATTTAATACCCACACATGGTTTTTAGTTCCTTGACCTTGTGACAGAATCTGACACACCAACTATTTGTTAAAATAGACTCACACAGAAAGAGAATTTGGACTCACTGTTTGCCATCACTGAGAGGAGCTTATCAACATTTTTTTTTTTAAAACTACATTTATGATTCATCTCCCACCCTTTTCCCCTTCCACTAATTTCAAAATTATGGACAAAATACTCACCAGACTAGTCTTAATCAAACTCCAAAGCTTCTTTCTTTGCAGAAGAATAGAATAGCCCTGCTCACTCACGCAAACAGGATATATAACACTTTCCCTTTGTTCTCTTTTTCTTCTTCTTTATGTTTAATTAATTATTTCCTCTGTGATTCGTTAGTTGGACATAACATAAATAGTGGAATTGGCTAGGAGAAAAAGTTGGCATGCTTTTTCCTGAAAACTATAGAAAAAGAAAGGAGTTCAGAAGTGATGGCTTTCTTTCTTGTTTGCCGTTATACGAAATAAACCCCATCACACATAAGAGAACATGCATGATTGCTGGCTGCAATTAAGATACCAATTCCAACCCAGTGTTATGATGATTATATACATACATACATATATAGGGTTGTTTTTTTTTAGTCTACTACGCTGTCAAGAACGAGGTTTAAATTAAGATTCATGCAGTTAGGCCAATTGTTGTGAATTATTATGATGATAGGGTCCATAATAAAGTTGAGAAGACAAAAAAATAAACAAAAAAGGGAAACTAATTTAGTGGATAAATAAAAGACAAGAGAAAGGCATTAGACAACAACAGCTTTCTTTCTTTCATCAAACAGGAATTGCTTTTTACAGTGGCTAGGTTCAGTTCACTATGCAAGTTAAAAACAAGGACTAAAATCAAAGTCTTTTTAAACATAGAATTAACCTAAAAAAGAGTAATTAAAATCCCTCCCTTCCCTAACATGTCCACAAAAAACAGTTCACGTGAACCGCCATGAAAAGCTACCAACCACATAATAATGTCCACCTTTAGATTCTTCATCAGTTCTGATTGATCCACTGCTTGTGGCCGGAAACCCATTTTGGACATTTGGGGCTAAAATATTTTTCCACCACCCTTGAGTTCAAGAGCTCCACCACAGGTGCAAACTTCACACACCTTGGTGTCTTGTACTGATTTATTGAAGCCCCTAGGCTTATGGCATAGTCCATGAGCTTGTCAAAAGTCCCCTGTTCCACGATCTTTATCTCAAGGGGCCCAATCGATTTGTCTGAGACTCGCCCTTGCCGATACACACTGTTCAGTGATTCCTCTATGGTTAAGCAACAGTCCTCAAACACACACGGTGGAATTGGGGTTGAACCTTTCAGAGCCAGCTCCCAGTACAACACATAGTGCCCAGGGATCGTTGTGGTGTCTGCATAGCTTGTGTAATCAGACACTGATGCATCAAAGGGCACCAAGTGTGTCACAGCATTCTTCATTGCGTTCTGAAGCTCCACCTCATCCGTCTTGTCTGAGTCTATGCTCAACACCACGTTCTTTCTGCACACAAAGTTGAATTGGGGTGCCTTGTTCTTGAATCCAGCCACCCTCAGCACATCACCAACTCTGTAACGATACAATCCTGGAAACACAAAAATCGTCAACTGTCAATTACCAAACCCATAGGTTACACTTGTTTAACAATTTTCTTCAATGTTAAGGATGTTCACGGTGAATTACAACTGCAATTAAAACTTTAGACAATGTTGACAAGGTGATGAGGAAACCATGACTAAAATTTAGAACCTTGATGTTGAGATAAAGGGTGAGCGAAGGGTGTGTGTTTATTCTTACCAGCATAGGTTGTGACAACGAGTTCATATTCTTGGCCAAGTTTGACATCAACGAGCTCAACCAGCTCCTGCTGTTGTTTCTCATTGAGGGATCTGGGGGTGTGGAGAGGGTCATTGACTCCATTGCTTCGGTTAACAGGCAAGAACTCGAAGTAGCACATGGTGGGAATAAGGGTGTAAGAGACCTCACTGGGTTTGCAAAGAGGGTTTAGGTTAACACCAAAATAGCACTCACTGGACGCATACATGGTGCACACAAGCGGGAGTCCATTGCTGTAGTAGTCCAATGTGGGGATGTACTGTGACATTGTCCCGGTCACAATAACATCCACATACTTAGTATTTGGCCACAGCCTAGTGATTATGCCCTGCCATGAGCTCTTGCTACACTCGGTCTGGATAAGATCCGCGAGCTTAGGATCAGGTTTGAGGATCTTCATGACAGCCTCACGGACGGAGGTGTCAGTGATCTGAGAGTTGATGGTTCCAGTTCTGATGTCGTTGCAAAGGAGGGACCAGTGTTTCTCAAGGAACCTAATGGCTCTTATGAAGCCAGAGGCAAAAACTGCCCCCACACGGAAAACTTCTTTGTTTTGGCAAAGGCCACAAAGGAGTTGGGAGTACATGCTTTGGTAGGAGTCAGGGCAGAGGACAGTCTCATTCGGGCTGGTGTAGTTGGTGTAGGGGTCATAGGGTCTGTCTTTGAAATAGGAACTTTTGTAGTAGCTGGTCAGAACTGGACGAGCCACAATCCCTCCAGGTGTTTTGGCCTCGGATTTTATGAACATTAGGTACATTCCTTTGCCCTTTTCCAAACCAGGAACAAACAGGCTCATCACTGGCATCAGAAGCCCATACAGTGAACTCCTCCTCCCTAGATCCTCTTCAATCGTTGGCATCAGCTTCCTCTCACCTCCTGATGTCCCAGAACTGCAAAAGCAAAAATGAACACACAATAAGAAAACCAAACAAACAACCCCATGAATATTTTGACATGCCCATGTGCACAAACAAACAAAAAAGGACACGAAAAACAAAACCCATGATAAAAAAATGCTCTTTTATCTTCTCTTGTTTCCACTTAAGTTAGACCTCGGCCACTCTATGAGGTCCGGTCTTAAGTTCAAACTTCATTATGTTATTTATTATATACAAAAGAAAAAAAGTTAAAACTAGACCAGTCCACTAGGATCGGCATAGGTGTTGGTTGTAGTGTATACAAGAGAACGTTGGAAGTAGGCCAAAAAGAGAAGGAAGTTTGTGTATGACAATATATATGTGCGTGCAGCATACCTAGTGAGAAATTCTGAGATGGGTTTGGAGCAAAGGATTGGAGAAGTGTCACCATTGGCGATGCGGTTGATGTCAGGTTGGATATCCTCGTAGGTTATGACAGGCAAGAGTTTCTTGAAAGTTTCACGGTCTGTCTGGCCGTGGAGACCGTGTCTCTTCAGGTACTCGACGTTTGCATTGTTGGAGAGGATTTCGGAGAGGACCCTCTTCTGAACTTGGTCGGCGTTGGCGGTGACATCCTCAATAAAGTCGAGAATTTTCTCGTTTTGCTCAACAAGGTTGTAGTCCCTTGGTGCCTCAGGCATGGTGATGGTGTGGTGGTTTAGCAGCTAGCTGGCAACACAACAACCTTGTTGCGGTGTGAGTATGTGTTTTGGGAAGGAAAGGAAACAAGAGTTTGGTGTGCGTGTGTGTGTGAGAGAGAGAGAGAGATAGAGATAGAGAGAGAGAGAGAAAGAGAGAAGAAGAAGACAATGACTCTAATAGTAATAGAAGCTGGTTAGGAAGAAGCTAGGAGATGGTGTTGGGCGTGAGTTGAAAAGAAGAGAGAAAGTGGTTTATATAGAGGCACATGTCAAGCTGGGTTTGTTAGATGCGAAGGACTAGGGAGTAAATAGATGTAAAACAAAAGGGTAGAATGGGGAATATGTAGCCGTTTTGTGTCACTTTTTGTTTTTACTTTTTCCTATATATCTAAACATTTATATCATGACAAAGCACACTATACAAAATACAACTTCCATGCATTTATGGTCTTGTAATTAGGAGGGCATTTGGGCACGATGGGAAAGACTAGGCGAAGGACTTTGATTTGGCTTGTTAGGAAAATAAATAATGAATTGGTTTTGGTTATAGGGAAATTATTAATGATAAAGGGGAAAGAAAAGAAAAAGAAACGTGAAGTGAGAAGAAGGCATAAAAACACAATTTCAATTGGAAATGACTTGGCATATTATTTGAACATGAGTGAATGAATACCATCACCGCTTTTTAAAGATAGATAGATTGAATGGAATCCATGTGCAACATAAAAGGAATGCTTATGGAGTCACTTTGAAATGCTTTGCGGTTGTTGTCAAAGTGCTTAAGTAGTAGAAGATTGATAGTCCATATCTTAAAGAGGGGCATAAGATCAAATAATGTGGAATAAAGACAAACCTATATCCCATTATCCCTTTGTCTCGTATTGGATTGGCCAACCAAAATTCATTATTATTTGTTTCACCAAAATCGCACGAACCCATGTGTCAAAATAACAAACTTTTTCAATTTTCTCACCAAATTCAAAACAATTATTACGCATACATATTTTGGTTTCCAAAAATTTAATTTACACCCATTTAGCATGCGTTTGGGATCACAAATTCGCACTTGTCGTACAAGAAAAACGGCCTTGCGGAAGAAACCTCATTAAAAATGTTTTTAGGTACTTAATTAAATAATTAACCGGCAACATCCGGTAAACACGGTGTTTAAGTAAACCCATGGCCTGCGCGCTTGGAGTGTGGTGGGGGATGTCCTACGGAATACCGGCAGCCACTTACTTAATTAAGTGGTTAGTTACTTGTAATACCGGTAACAAAAAATAACGGCGTTCGTCGAATTTCCCGCGATATTCCGTAGTCAAAGTTGAGAGTACTTGGATTGGGAGAGTGAAGACGGGAAGGGATATTGTGTGAGTGGTGTACGGTAAAGTGGTGGAGTTTCTTGTTTACGAGTACAAAAGATCGGGCCAGCAGGATGCAAAACTTGGTAGGACGACACGTGTGACATTTTTTTCATCCATTCTAATATTCCTTTAAAATATATTACTGTTTTTACCCGTACATGGACGAGATATTTTTAGGAAAATGATAAATAAATTTTGTTTATTTTAATTAATTTTTCATTATAATTAATGAAATGTTTGTAAAATGATTATAATTTTGTAAGAAATGCAAATCTAAACTGTTTAAAAAAAACTAAATTAAATTAATAAAAATAAAATGACAGAAATATGATTGTTCAATTCTATCAACTATTCTTATATTTAACTTCTTGAAAGCACGAAGTCTCAAATCATGCTAACTAAGAACGTAAGTTTTTTGAGCATCAATATATCTAAGTAACTAAATAAGTGAATAAGTTTTTTATAATTATTAAAGTATTAAAATAACTACAATTAAAAAAAAAAAACCTACGTAACTAAATAAAAAATATTCTTGTGATAGAAATTACCTATGATGAAATCAAATAGATTGATTCACCTAGCTTTCCTTTCATGCTCTTTGATCATTCACATGATTTGGAACTGTCGCTTGGCTGTCCAAGGGCATATATAGTGCCACGATTGCTCTGATTTCAAAATCCATATTAAATTTACAATTGATTGACGTCAGGACAAAAGGTGAATGTTGTT